GATTATAAAGAACAAGGCAGCTGATAGTGGTCCAAAAAGAGGACTTTGCAGATTGTTTTGGAAAGTGACCTTGTATATCTATAGGTATCATGAACACTAGATGATAAAGATTCTTTCCATGGAACAGCCTATACATAAATGGATTTTTTTTCAATGCTTAGAGATTGCACAGATCCTGACCAACCTACTCAACATCCCCTCTTAGACTCTGTGGCAAGGTGGTTTTCAAGACGAACCACTTGCAGTGGATGGCTCATCCAAGCCCTGATGCAAGGAATGTTCTTTTGCATTTCATGGTATGTGTATGTAGAACTAGTGTGAATTCATGATTTTCCTTCTCTTGAAGTGACTATCACTCACAGCTAGAGAGTTCAGTCTACCCATTTATTTCACCCATAGTTAATCAAGAAAAGATGGATTCATGCCTTTCCCAAGAGCATTGGTGAAGTGACTATAAGAGATTTGACCAGAATTTGAATTCTGCTCAATGTTTTCACTTTCTTTGCTGCTAGCCATTATGTTATGAGAAGAAATAAGTAAAAAAAAGATACCACTTGTCCCAGAGCAATGATTTATATATTAGACCCTTTTTTTTTTCTTTTTTTCATTGGTTTCACCCCTTGTAAGGCAGTAAAGTCACTAAGACATAAGGGGTTACTGGGTATGGGAGAATTAGAAACAGAAACATTAATAATGAGCAGGAAGAGAAAAAGAGTAAATCAAGAGGACGGTAGATAGTGATTGACATTGCATTTGAATGCAATTATGAAGACCAATGTGAATGAATTTGGTAAATGATGTACTTGATATTTATCAAAATTTGCTTGAATGCATTGTCTGTCTATTTAATTCTAAAAATCTTAAACATTTACTAAAAATTAAATATTTTAAAGCTTTTAGTTGTGCAGTTAGATAATTGATAAATGGAGTCAAATTGTTTCCTGTTGCAACCAGTAATTGACGTGAATAATGGCCGACAGAGACAAGATGTCTGCCTACCAGCAAAACAATGAAAAATAATCAAATCTGCAATTATATATTAATGTTAACAATGCAGGAAAATACTTGGCTATTGCAATTAAAAAACAAAAAAACATAATCTATAAATATGAATGTATTAGCCATATTACCAACTGCTCAAGGTATTAGATTTCAGAAACTCAAGGTCTAGCCAAAAACCTGCTCCACTGCTCTGTGTATATGTGTATATCTTACAGTGGTCAGTTGTAAAGTTTCTGCATGTGTGTGGTTTGGGATTGTGACAGCTAGCAAAAAAGCCTTTATGTCCGCCCACAAAAAAAGCCATGGGTATGTTGCAAATTTTAGGTGACACAGCTCAATACTATTTATGTCCTGCTTTTAAATGTATTTCAGAATTTTATAGTGCATGATATAGATGAAAGTAAAATAATAACAAAAAATAAAAACCTGTTAAAATGTATTCATGTCCAAAGATATATATATATATATATATATATATATATAATGACTATTGACAGTTATATTGACTATTATTTACTATACTATATTGACAGTGACTATCAGTGCTACTAATGCAATACTCTTCAATAAAATGAATCATTCAGTCACTGACGTGTTTATCTAAAAATACGTTTAAATTCACCTTCATCCTTTCCATGTGCCAGTGGCTTAGGAGTAGATTCTCCGATTGATGCCAATTCAGCCAGGTTTCAATCCTAGCTACAGGCAAACGGACATCTATCCACACTGATGAGCTGTGATACAGTGAAACCGTCTGTCTGTGGATGACATACATATATATATATATATATATGTGTGTGCGTGTACTGGACTCTCCTGTCATTTTTGACATGAGGGTCAAGCAACTTAGTCCCTGGAAACCAACAGTCAGGCTACTCTCACATCATTTTGAGTATAATGGTGAAAGCTTTGTGCAGAACCAACCACACTTTTTGGAAGAGTTGAATATAGAGAACTGGTGCACAATGTGCCACAAGGTCCAACCCTCTGCAGGTTTTGAAATCAGAGCTGTCCTTCATGTAGACTGATTGTCACTCAAGGCTATAGAAGCCAGTCTGTTCTGCTATTTACCCATAGCTGGGGCAAGAAGAAGAGGATTCATACCTTTCCTGAGGGTGTTAGCATGTAATGGATTCAACTGGAAGTCATCTATATATATATATATACCTACCTTCCAAAGGTGTATATTGATCTGGGTAACTTACAGATAATTCTGAACTGAACCCTTTATTTAATCTAATCTATGGGGGTAGACTGTTCTCATTCCACTGCTTATATCTCTGGATATCTCATCTAGTTATTATTTTATTTAGTACTGCTTGGGTATTGTTAACCAGTTTACACCGAGTGCAAGTACATACTGCCCCACCCAGAGATTGAACTAACAATCACTTTGTCACCATATTCATAAACCAACACTTTTATCCACAAGGCCACGGTACTATATGTTATATACACCTAAGGAAGGCCAAAGGGTAAAACGGCCAACATGTTGTGGTAACAACAAGAAAGATAACGAAAATAGTCTGAATATCAACAGTATAAATAATGCTAAGTCCTCATCCCAGAAACTCAGACGATAATTAAGGTGTTTAGTTGCTAGTCTAGTATCCAAAACTAAAATCTAGTGTATAAGATACAGATGGATTTTTGAAGGTTTTTTTTTTTTTTTAAAATATAGTATACTTTTCATGGTAGGATATGATGTATATACAGAAATCTGTATCAGACAAATAGTGGGTAATTGAATGACAAAATTCCCACTTTGAATTCTATCATGATGCTTTGCTCAATTTAGCTAAGTCTGAAATAAGGTTTAAGTCGGGTGTTCTCTTTGGTAGCAAGTCATGTGGGATTCGGCAGCTCCTCCTGCTGTCTGGACTCATCTGCATCTCTGGCCAGCAACTCTGGAACTATCTTTTGGTTGCTTCAGTGTTCTGCTTATATTGACTATTACCCAAGATTGGCATGCGGGTTGATGTGGTTAGGGGACCCGGTGTTTTCCCTATCTTCCAACAAGAGTTCTTTGTTGTTTGGCTTTGGAAAATTAATTATCTCCCCAAATCCCTTTTTCTACAGGCAGTGGTCCTAGGTTCTGACCTGCCCTGATAACTCCTCCTTTCTCTTATTTGTGCCTTGTACTATTACTTCCTAATGGGTGTAGGCAATTCTTCTGTCCTTCTTGATATCTCACCTATGCCTGTCACCATATTTGTTATTTTGAAAAATCTGGTTTTCAAACCATGTAGCATGACTTAGTTTCTGGTCATTAATTAGAATTATCATTTTAATTTCTTGTCAACAAATTTTTCTCAGCCTGGTCTTGTTCATACAATCAAAAATTTACCAGCTGTTTCTCCCAGTCAGCTATCTTCATATCTTGTTTGCGTTATCACACTTTAAGAACCCTGGGCTGGGTTTACATAAAGAAATTCTATTTCTTGACTTGTTTACAAATTCCACTTCTTGATAGGTGGAATAAACCAATTTTTTCAATTCTGCCTTGTCTTTAAAAACTACCAAATATTATCTTTTTAATTGGCTTCCTTTTCCAGCTGGTCCCTAGGATATGTTTTTGTAACTTCCACTTTAAGGCAGTGCCATCAATCATCAGTCCAGCTTTTTCCAGATGGCCTCTATGGTAATACCTTTTCCTCAAAATGGCAAAGTCACTTTTCTCAAGCTGTCTCTGCTTAAAAAAAAAATATTTTCAAAATTAAAAGCAATTTCACTCTTTCTCTCTCAGTCTGTCTATCATTACATTTTAACCCTTTTCAGGTAACACTATTGTAAATAATGTCTAGCAAAGCTTAACGTATGTACCCTCAAAAAAACAGTGCATCAAAAGGACAGTTTTTCTCTTGATTCCATTATTACTCCCTTGGCAATGTTTGTTTTAAAAACATATTTTTGAATTTTAATTAAATCCAAATGTATAAAACTGAATTTACTTGTTCTCTTTTTTTCTTGAGAACGGACAGCAAAAATGTTAGACACTTATTTATTGGATTGTTTATTTACAAGATTAATTTCATATTTACAAAATTATAAAAATATGTTAACCAACTACAAGGCAATATTTATTATTTACTATTCTATGAAGATTTATTTTTTATTCATAAATTTATAAAAATGTGTGAAGAAAATTTAGATAAACACATAACAAGTAATTGATTATCAATTCTAAAAAAATGCATTTTCCAGGCTTTTCTTTCATTTACTCTCACCACATATATTCATTAAAACAAGTTGAGAGCATCTCTTCCTCTGAACCAAACATTGTTTTAACTTTAGGTGAGACCGCAAACACTTAATATTTTGAGCGTGTATCTCCCTATTCATTGGGCGGACAAAGTTTTTCTTGTGTATAATTACAGAATGAGGAGAAAATGTATAACATTTTTATTTAAATTTTGTTGTTCTATAGTTGAGATGTTTTTATAAATTTATGAATGAAAAAAATTATTCTCATAGTTAATTATTTATAAAATAGTTAATAATAAATACTGCATCATAATTTTCTCATATTTTTATTGTAAATATAAAATCAATCATGTAAAAAAAAATCTAGTAAATTGTAACATTTTTGTTGTCAATTCTCAAGAAAATGTAAAAATCTAGTTCCATGTTTGGGTTTTATTAAGATTATAAAAATAGGTTTTACAACAATAACATTTTTTTTTGTGGATCCATATGTTAAACTTTGCCAAAAGTCTGTTTAATAAAAATATTACTTTATCAGAATCCCAACTCAACCCCAAAATAAAAGCCAATATCATATTATAAATTCATATCATATCATATCATTCATATCACATATCATTCATTCATTCATTCATTCATATTCATTCATTCATTCATATCATTCACACATTCATATCATATCAATATCATATTATAAATTATTTATATAATAAATAATGAATTGTACAATTTTATTTTTAGTAAAATTAAAGTATTTATGAATTCTATTGGTAATTTATTTTTATTTTTTTAAGGTATGTGTGCCAAATGTGGACGTAAAGTTGTCGGACAAAGCAATGGCTGTACTGCGATGGACCAAGTCTTCCATATAAACTGTTTTGTATGTGCCAGTTGTGGTAAGTTGTTACCCTAGTCTAACACTCAGATTTACACATTGTTTTGTGCTTTAATTTTAGGTACATAACCTCTGACCTGAAATTTGGTAAGCTGAGTAACCCTCAAAACTGAACATTTCTTTCATGAATGTAGTTGCATAGCAAAGCTCATGTTTGGCTCCAAACATAATGCGATCCCAGTTCTGAAATCTATTTTCACTGTGCTTTACAAGACCATTGCTCAACACATGCTACACAATTCTCACAGAACTGCTACTTAATTCATACTTTTGCTTCTCAAATATTTTGTTTAGTTTTAGGGGATTTTTTTTATTATTTTGAGATATAATGATATGATATACAATCTCTCTATTTCTCTTTCTCTCTCTCTCTTTCTCTCTCTCTCCCTCTATCCGTTTCTCTCTCTCTCCCTCTATCCGTTTCTCTCTCTCTCCCTCTATCCGTTTCTCTCTCTCTCCCTCTATCCGTTTCTCTCTCTCTCTCTCTATCCTTTTCTCTCTCTCTCTCTATATCTCTTTTCTATCTTTTCTCTCTCTCTTCTTCTCTATCTTTCTCTCTTCTTTCTCTATCCTTTTTCTCTCTCTCTCTTTCTCTATCTATCCTTTTTTCTCTCTCATCTCTCTCTTTCTCATCCTTTTCTCTCTCTCTCTCTTTCTATCCTTTTTCTCTCTCTTCTCTTTCTCTATCCTTTTCTCTCTTCTCTTTTTCTCTATCCTCTTTTCTTTCTCTCTCTCTCTTTCTCTATCCTTTTCTCTCTCTCTCTCTTTCTCTATCCTTTTCTCTCTCTCTCTCTTTCTCTATCCTTTTCTCTCTCTCTCTCTTTCTCTATCCTTTTCTCTCTCTCTCTCTTTCTCTATCCTTTTCTCTCTCTCTCTCTATCCTTTTCTCTTTCTCTCTTATATATATATATATATATATATATATATTTCTCATCCTACTCTCTTATATATATATATATATATATATATATATAGAGGAGATGCTTACTTACTTTATATAAAGCTCAATGCCATATTTAATAGCAGTCTTAATAACTTTCCGGTGTACAATGACCATCCATTACTAATAGTTTCCTGTGTTTTGATTTTTTTTTTTTTTTTTTCTGGAGTTTGTATGTTTTTTTGGGTTTTTTTTTTTCCTTCCCCACAATTAATGGTGATTCCTCAGTATTTCATTCTTGGTCATATAGGCATTTACCCCACTCAGTGATTTTTACTTGGTGTGTCCATATAATCTACACCTCAGCTATCTTCATTGTAACTTTATTCAGGTAAATGGAAGGTTTTTATTTTGCAACATATATTTATAAACAAAAGTGGAGTAAAAAAAATATGGTAAAATATTCTTAAAGCTGTGTAAGTAAAGGTAAACTAGAGGATGCTTAGTAATGTAATTTAATAAACAAAAGTAAGTAAACGTTATTGTTGTTGAATTTTTTTATTTGCTATTTGTTTATATATTTATTTTTTCCACTTTGTCATATATCTTTCCTCCCTCAAAATATTTATATTTTTTATTTCTGAATTTCTTACACACACACACACACGTTGGTGTGACCAACACACTATCTGCCAAAAGACTTAAAACCTTAGACAAAAAAAACAAAAATGACCAAAAGGCAAGCATCTACCTACACAGTAAATTAAATTTCAGAGCAAAAAACACTTCACAACATCAACTCTTAAATTGCTACACTCTCTCAATCTTCAAACAACTATACTGATTGATATATATATATATATATATATATATATATATATATATATATATATAAGGTGTTAATATCTGGGTTTAATTTTATAAAACCTTTTTCCCTTTAAGGCAAATACCTTCTCCCCTCCCCTCACCACTGTCTTGAGCCTTACACCTGACTGAAACATTGAAGCAGTTAAATTTCTGATTCCAGCACAAATATACTGGGGTTGAATAAGACTGACAAATTTTATTTTCTCATCTGTTGAAATAAGCTTATTCCCGATATGAGGTGATTTGGGATTTTATTGTGTGTGTGTGTGTACAGACACACACACACACACACACACACACACACAGTGCGATGGGTAAATTATCGCCATTTTATACTTTTGAATTTCATGTATGTGTGTTGTTTGATTTTGTATGTGTGTTTGTTTTTTGATTTTGTCTGGTAGGGGTAGTTGTCGTTAGACCTCTTTCATCACAATGTAATTCTCCTTATAAAAAAATTTTCTAAAAATAAATTATACTTTTCTGAAACTTTGTTTTAGGAATATTAGTTGATTTAAAGTTTAATTAATCTGATTTGAAACAAGTATTACTTACTCTAAGTTTAAAATATTGCAGAAATGCATTTTTAAAATGGCAGTAGCTGCTTATTTTAGGTGTTGACAGACAGAAGTCTATCTAATGCTTTTCTATAGTCAACATATCGAAGAATATAAACATGAGGGTTTTTTTCATATAACTTTTAACTACACGTAATCTTTAAAATTTTTGAAAATATTCTCTGTAATCTAATGTTTTATTGAATTTTACATATTTTGGTTTTAAATTTACTATAATTATTGCTCTTATTTTCTGATAATGTCATGTATAAACATCTGCATTTACAAAAATCGTTTATGCACAAAAAAATTTCAAAATTCTTTTTAAAATATTGGTTGTCAATGAATTGTACTAAGCTTTTCAATTTAAGGTTAGTAGATATACTTTTTACTTAACAATATCACCTAATTTCTACAAAGTAAGACACAATTTTAAAAGATTTAAAATTATAAATTATTATAATTCAATCAAATTTTGAAAAAAATGTAACAATTCTTGTAAAAATTCATTATTCATCAAAAAAAATTTTTTCTGATGACATTAGTGTCCATTATATATGTTATTTATAAAAGCAATTAAAAGCTCTTCTAATTAAATAATGTCTTAGTCTTATGGTATTTTTTTATTTTACAATTCAGAGCAGATTTTTGGTAACTGGGGGTCCTGTTTTATGAAAAGAAATTGACAATTTAAATTCTCCAAAGAGTTCTAATATAAACATTAACTCTACAAAATTTAATTTCTCAAAATTTCATAAAATTAAATGTGGGGGATGGGTAACAAATGTAAAAAAAAAAAAAAATACTACGATTTTCTAACAGATAAAAAATATATCTAAAATAATTTAATTCATTTGTGAATAAGTCCTTAAAGTTTCATTTTTAAAATCCAACAATTATTTGATTTTTTGCTAGAATTTCCATATCAATGCAAAAAAGATGCTAAAAGTTCCTATACTAATCTTTGGCCACTGTGCTGACGAAAAAAAAAAAAAAGATTTTTAACCAAAATTTCGGCCGTTCTAAAACAGATGGAAAATATAACTAATAATAATTTAAAAAAATCCCTTTGACTTTCCTCTTAAAACAAAGATTTTGACAATAAAACTGTTTTGGTGCATTTTTTTCATCATGTTATGCTAATTTTTTTTAGCGAATCAGTGTAGATACTTAATACCAAGATTCTTTTTTCATCAGAAGATTTATCCTTTGCTTGTTACTGTTTTTTACCAACTGTTGTCATCGTCATCATTAGACATTTTTTATCTAATTTTAACCAGTGAGAATCCAGGAAAACGATAAAATGGTAGTGGGTCCAGGGTCAAGAGAGATAACTTATGTTGCTTTAATCAGAAAAAGATAAGGAGTTATTTACCTTGAACTTGGCTTGTTTTGATTACGTGTTGAATAAAATACGTAATCAAAACAAGCCAACCTCATTATCGGAATTAAAATGGTTTGATTAATCTTTCCTCTTTCAACCTCTTTTATCTTTCGGGGCATACCTTGCCATACAACTGATTAACTAAACAGACATGATTATATTGGCGCCGGTCTTGTTTAAAAGTTAATCATGAAGCGAAAAACTGGAGCTAAAAAAATTGCCAGATGTTGAAACTTCTATAGACTTTTTTTTTTTTTTTTTTTTTTTTGTTAAGCTTCTGAACTTTTAACAGAGACTAAAAAAATTTTAAATATTAAGTTTTTCATTTTTAATTAATGAAAAAAGTAACTTTACATCAATATGATGTCTTTTATTTAGGTACCGCCAAAAAAAAAAGTGATACTTAAATTAATTTTAAAATGAATATTTTAAAATGAAAAATCTTTCTCGAAGTTTTTTTTATTTTATTTACACTAAGTCACTATTTACATTGTTCGGACTGACTGTTGTCATATTGACATATTCACGACGTTGCGGCCGTTGTACTCTCTGGCCTTCTTCAGGTGATTGGAATTTCGAATTAAAAATTTTTTAATTCTACTAATATTCTTCTTCTTAAATTGAATATTTCGGTAAATTTGCTTTTTAATACTCGCGCTAAATAAAATTTTCCCAAATCGTCATAATTCCGTGTAAATGTACATGCTGAATTTGAATTAACAATTAAATTATGAAGAAACTTACCGTTTTGGAGTTCAGCAAAAAAAAAAAAAAAAAAAAAAATCGGACTTCCTGTTGGTCATTCGTCCCCAATTACTGCCATACTGTAAAAAATCATTAAAAATGGCTGATTTTTTTTTTTTTTTTCATTAAAAATGGCTGATTTTTTAGCCATACTTACAAATAGGTACCTCCCAAAAATTTTCTAAATAAAAGTTTATGATGAAAAACGGCCCAAACTTGAAAAAGTAAGTTTTATCGTCAAAATGTTTGTTATTGTTTAAGAGGAAACTAAAGATCAAACAAAGTATTTTCGATTATTTTATTAAATTTTCTAATCCTTTCCATCTGATTAGAAAATATAGTTTACTTAACCACTACAAATTGATACTGAATTTTAAAAGATTTAAAACATTATAAATTATTATAATTCAATTTTTAAAAAATGAAACAATTCTTGTAAAAATTCACTATTCATAGAAAAATTATTTTTTCTTAACACATAAGTGTCCATATCTTATTCATAAAATTAATTAAAAGCTTTATTGTCTTTTTATTTTTTTATGATTCACAACAGATTTTCTGTAATGGGG